TAAATAAATAAATAAATAAATAAATAAATAAATAAATAAATAAATAAATAAATAACTGGAGAGGCAGTTTCTGTAAGCAGGGCAATAAAGATTAGGCTAGAAACGCTAGAATGTTTCCTTCCTGCCTTCCTTACAGGATTAGCCCTGTAAAGTGGAAAAAAACAAAAGGAGATTTCTTCCAACAACCAGTTCTCTGAACCTCTTAGAAAATTACCAACCGGTTCTCCCGAATAGGTACGAACTGGCTGAATCCCACCACTGGCTTAGAACTAGTTGAGATGGCAACTGAACAATGTATATTAGAGACAGAAAATCATGATTATCTAAAAGAGAGCTAAAGACTTTGAAAATGAAAAAATGAGATAAATGAGTAGGTAGCGAACGTGTTTTAATATGGGTTCAAACGTCAAATTGTAGCTTATTTTTGCTTTTTCTGTAAACTTCTGTCCTAGAATGCCTTTTAACACATATATATTCATACGTATATACATAGCATTACAGAAGACACAATATGATTAGGTACTCACCCATTTCGCTGTTTTCAGGAACCACTGCTTCATACTGAGTATGACTGAAAGAAATCATTTCCGTGTGGGCTTTAGAAGAGATGATCACAACAGCTGTAGCAGTTCTAGCTGGGGTCCCTTGATCACATGCCATTATCAGGTGGTGGGTGAATAAGCCATCGTAAAATACAGGTTCCTTAAGAAATATTTCACCTGTATTTGAATCCATCTCAAGTATTGTGGCTGGTGTCACAAACCGAAACTTCACTGTTCCATTCAGACCTAAATCTAAATCCCTGGATTGCACAGTCGCTATTGCCTGATTTATAGGTGTTTGAAAGGATACTTGAAGTTTAAGAGGATTCTCTAAGAAAAAAGGATTATTGTCATTGACATCTTCAATCTGTACTACTATAGTAACACTGGCACTTCTGGGTTGCCGGACATCGGAATCTGTCGCTATACCTTTAAATATATATTGAGATTGTCTCTCTCGGTCCATTGGTTTATTAGTAAGGACAACACCACTAGTTCTGTTAATAGTAAACAATCCAAGAGGTTCATCCATTAGAGTGTACACAACCTTTCCATTTGGACCTTCATCTGCATCTAAAGCAAACAGTTCAAGAATTGATGAGTTTTCTTCAATATCTTCACTTATAATTGCTTGGTAATGATTTCTTGTAAATAAAGGACTGTTGTCATTTTCATCCAGGACTCTGATTTGTAGTTCCATAGCAGAACTTCTTGCTGGAGTGCCTAGATCAAAACACTCTATGACCAAGGTAAAATTGTTGACGCTCTCTCTGTTCAAACTGCGAGTAGTGAAAAGGTCTCCTGTAGTTTTGTGCAAAGCAAAGTATCCTCCGGTATTCCCACCTTCAAAATGATACAAAATGAATATGTCAATTAAAAACAGAACAGAAAACAAGAAAAACTTTCTATACACTGATATGTATTTACATATAAATACTATGTAAGAGCTGTTACTGACGAAAGTCCCAAATACTAGAAAACATTTTACCCAGAATTTTAGAGATTAACTGTTGATTTAGTATTCAGATGCAGGACGTAAATTTGCATTGTGAATTTAAGAATGATTGATGTTTTCTAAGGGAAAAAAATAAGATTTTTAATGGGACAGCTAGACTTTTTCAAAGGACTTACATATTTCCTGTATTGTAGAATGTAAAGAGTTTTTTTAATAATAATATTGTATTAAAATAAATAAATCATATTAACACAAGATGCAAATATTACAATATTACAAAAATGCGAATATTACAATGATCACATTTTAAGAGTAGTTAAATAAGGTCAGCAAACACCAAATTTTAAATCTTGCTTTTAAAAAATAAATATACATTATTA